GAAGGCGCTGCAGGGAAAACAAATCCTTTTTTGTCTCCCCGCTTTTGCATGCACAGCGGTGGGCCTGAGTGAAGACGGCACTGAAGATTTGCCTTTTTCTATAGTGTTTTGCCCATTTGGGATCATGAGTTGCCGTCCCCTTTTAACCTGTGTGCTATGTCGATTTGTTCTTAAACGGTTCCCCGCAGCGCTTGTCCTGTCTCACGGGCAGTCATACAGTTTTATCGTTTTTAATAAGGTAAAGTTTTTAATTGTTTTTAGGTGCCGCTGTTACACTGTTTCTTTTATTTTGTATTAAAAATTAAACTATTTTTACCTGACTGTGCGCCTACGGCTCTGTCCTGTTTTAAATAGGTACCTACCACGGGTCACACTGTAAACACTGACCAAAATTTGGAAAGAAAAAGAACAAAAATGAAGACAGAAAGGAACCTGATCCAGCAGACTGCGGCACCATCCGGTCAGAGATTCCGCTGTGACAGCATGACCGCAGGACATCTCTGCTACGAGACTGTCATCACCGGCTGCACAAAACAAAGAGAAAGCACAACGAGTTTTATATCAACGTCACATAGTCTGTATTTGACCAATAGGAAGAGTTACCAAAATACTGAGTATATGTGAGCATTTTCCTTACATAAGCTAACACCGGCATAACACGTATATAAAACTGCTTTAGTTGGGTTAACTGGTAAAATAACAAGTATACAGACAACAGGCAAAACTGTGTATTTTAAACGTATTTTAGTTCTTACATAATGGATCCAGCTCATCCCTCCTGTTGACAAATGTCAGCGTCGTATCGTTGGGGTCGTAGCTCTTGTCATCCTGATCTTGTGTCGTCATTCTGGTTCAGACGAGGAGGTTTGCTCTCTGTCCACAAACTTGATCTTGGTTTAAACACTACAAATGAAATTAGCACCGAGGATCTTGCTCTGTCTTCCTCTTTTAAAGCACCAAGATTCAGCAGCCCGTTTAACTTTCAGTTTCTCTACGGTACTTACAAGTCACATGGTGTACGATAACAAGTTTGCATTCCCCTCTGATATATTCGCACTATGTGTACAGTTAATCCTCACAGCTTTAAGTAGCCTACCATAGAATATTAATTGTGCGTTGTGCGTTAGTGCGTTGGTTTAAAAAACAAACAAAAACCCCCAAAAACGATTAATGCCAACACTTGATAAACAAACGCTCCCTGGTCATACGACAAACAAAGGCGGCAGTCACCCCCTGATAATAAACATTTTAAACAGTTTTACGCAGACGAAGAAGCAGAGATACTACCTTCAAAACAATAATTAATAAATAAATAAAAATAATTAGAAGCTGAAGAATTCTGAGCGAAAGTGAAAGAATTTATCTGCTCTCTGACGTCAAACAGCTGTTCGCACTGACATATCAGTGACAGACTTTAGAAGCGCAACAAGTCGCACTTAAGGGCAAAATGGGAAAAATCTACCAGGTTGTCGTTCATGGACTAAGGGGTCAGAAGATGATGTTGGACCTGTGCAACACCGAGGAGCAGTTTAAGAGCATGACCGTGAAACAGCTCAAGGAAAAATTGGCACAGAAGCTTCCGGAGACCGCAGGTAAGACAGCAGATAATAAAACAGTGTATGTATGCTTTTATGTTGCTGGTTAATTCAAAGGCATATTTACTGTAATGAGAATATTTATATAAAGTTCTAATCCTAAAGTAAAACAGTCAGCAGCTTGAAGTGAAAGTAAGGAAGTGGCGATAATAAATAATAGAAACTGACTCCAGTCAATAGAAACTGACTGGAGTAAATAGTCAAGTAAATAGTGAAGTCCAAAATGAAAGTAAGCGAGCCCAAGAACAATTAGTGAAAACTCTACATCAGAATGCTCAAGTTCATGTAATTATTTGTAGATAGAGTTTCAAGGGCAAAAATGTTAAAGTACTTAGAGAAAAAATAAATAGAAATAAAGAGGGTTCTTTTCATGGACCATGAGGGGAAACAATATTTTCTTAAATCTTATATACATTGAATCAATATGATAAATCTAGTGTGTGTGTGTGTGCAGGAGAGGAGGCTCTGCGCCTGATATTCACAGATAAAATGCTGGATGGAGACGACACCCTTCTGTCTGAATATGGAATCCAGCACATGTCCGTCCTCCACATGGTGATGAAGGTTCCTGGAGGACTGAAAGCTTGACTAAGACCGTCTCCACCTGTCCTACCACTACTGCTGCTACTTTCTGTAATGCTTCATAAAACCTCTTGACACTGTTTACATGCAATGTAAATGGTTCACTTAATATGCTGTTTTACTGTTTAATGACAATGATTGTTTAATTGATCATCCTTTATTCCAAATGCAACACAAGTCTGTGTTGTTCTATGAAATAAAACATTTTTTCCAGTTACTTTCTTTGTATTTTTGATTATTTTTAATTAGTATTTAATCTTTATTTAAATGTTTTTTTCAGTTACCACAATAGTCTCACAGTAGTTTAAACAGCCATAAAATACTTAAAGCTTCTGTATTCTTGCTTTGAGTATTTTAAGGAAATTGGCAATGACAAAGGACACTTTTTGATTTTCACGTTTCCTATTTTAGCTATAGGTACAAAATATTGTATAAATATGATCTTAAATCCATTTTGTAATTTCAGTTCTCTAAAATGGTTTACATAGTTGGTGCTAGTTCTAAGTTTAGTTTCAGTTAAGTTTAATAGACACGTTCTCTCTTAATGCTTCATCTCCAATAATTTTTTCAGTTGTTACAACACATTCACAAAGCATATTCAACAGTAAATCAAAAGCTTGTCACTGGTGTCTTTTCATAAATATTGTATTTGCTGAAGATCCAGCTGCAGGTTCTCTGACTCTTGAGACTGAGTCTGAGCACAGACTATCATAGATCCCACAAAGTTAACAAAGAGGTAGTGATCTAACTCAAAATAAAGAACTGAAATTATCCCTTAAGACTACAGGACTGCAGGTTTACACATATTGGAAAAGCATCTTGAAGTCAGCAGATTCCAAGAGCTTTAGTTCAAACAACATGAACATAAGTATGCAGTATTACATACTTACTTTGCCATGGTCCTGTGGAAGACTCAAATTGTCATCCTCAAATGAGAGAAAGCTGGGTATCATTTTCAAGAAAAACCCAGGAACCATCAAGCCTCAAGCATGCCATTGATGTATAACTGCTGGAACACCAGTTTTACTGTCCATAGTGAAGACAGTTATACGTCTCTATGGACTGTGAGACTGCTGAGCAAGAACGAAGCCACTGCTCCATAATCAGCACCTTCAAGTTCGACTGAAATTTGCAGCTGCTCACATTTCAAGCCAAATCCCATCTGGAAAACAGTTTTATGGTCAAATGAGACAAAGATTGAATTATTTGGCCACAAAAAAAGAAGCATGTTTGAAGGAGTAAAGATGAAGCTTGTGAACTTTTTGCCAGAAAACCTTTATCAGTTTTCTTTAAAGTTACAGTGGGGTGGACAAACATATTTAACCATCCAGTGGAAGACACGTGTGACACTGTTGAGTACTTTGAGAGTTTATGAGGATTATGTGAGCAAGACATTTTGCCTGAAAAAAAAAAGAAAAAAGAGAGAAATTACCCAACTGTGGTGTTTGGTATGTGTCCATGGCAACCTGTTGCTTCACATCCTGTTTGTCTTAATAAAAAAGTGTTTTGAAGTAATCTGTTAATCCAAGCTGTGAGTCGTGAATAAGGAACTTCACACAGACAGCAATACCACAAAGGGCAAAGGTTTACTTCAACTGCAGTACAATAAACCCATTATTTGACAAATAAAGCTGGACTGTTAGCAGAAATAGTTAAAAAATATTGTTATTCTGTGGTCACATGACCTTTTATTGCTGCAAAGAAGCTGAAAGCATATAAAAATCTAGGTGTAATCTAGGTAAGTAAATGCCCAAAAGTTGATTCTGTTAATCTGGACATAGCGTTTTCGGTGGGAGAAACGTTTCATCACTCATCCAAGTGACGAAATGTTACATCCAGATGAACAGAATCAACTTTTATAAGACATATAAAAATCCACTATCTTCTTAAAAACGTATCCAGTTTAAGGTCAGAGGCTATCAAACAATGAAAAATAAATTCCTTAACCACCTGAAAACCATAAAAGATTTTCTAAATAAGACTTTGTTACTGAAAATAAAAAAATAATCCTGTAAGATATTATCAGGCTGAATCACAGGGTTACAGGCAGAGGTATTTATAGTTTTAAAGACACGTTTCCTGGTACAACAGATTCTCTGACATGATATGATCTCAGCTGAGGCTGAAGCAGTAAAAGAAGGTGTGGGGAGAAACACCTATGAACAAAAGACTTGCCACATCATTAGCTACACTTGTTCAATTGCACAGTAGTTTAGCTTTCCAGTCAACCAGTCACATGTGAGCAACTTAATGCATTTTGGCATTTCAGGCTGCAGGTCACACAGGCCCATCAAAACTGGGCAGCAGAAGATTGAAAAAGCATTGCCTGGTCTGATGAATCTCAATTTATGCTGTGACATTCAGACAGTAGAGTCAGAAACAACATGAAAGCATGGATCCACCCTGCCTGATATCAATGGTTCAGGCTGCTGGTGTGGGGAATATTTTCTTGTCACACCTTTGGCCCCTTAGTACCAAGTGAGTATCATTTAAACACCATAGCCTGCCCGAACCTAACAAATCTGCAGCAACTGTATGATGCTTTCATGTCAGGTTGGATCAAAATCTCTGAGGAGGAGGTGTTTTCAGCACCTTGCTCAATCTGTGCCATAAATAATTTTCTTTGTCTCTACTGTGGCTACTTAGCTTTATCTTAGTGGTTTCAGTGACTCTTCATGCTAACATTCACTGACATTATTCATCTCCTGTATGTTCAGTGTATCACTGTGTCTGTTTCCATGTTTATGACGCTGATCAACTTTTAGTATGTTTTCTTTTCTATCATCAACTTTATCTTTATCCTGAAATGTGTCACAGTACATCGCTGCTATTGGTTTATCACCAATAATCTTTCTTTTTGTGTCATGTTGAAAATCGGTTCTTGTTTTCTCCTCCTCCTCCTCCTCAGCATGATTAGGACAAGGGCTGTAATAATTTTCAGTTTTTTCTTTATTCTCCTGATGTTCACATATGTTCTCTCTAACAGTGTCAGCTGGATGCTCTGCATGGCTTTTTCTCTCTGACTGCTTATCTTTAGCCTTTTCATCTATATGTTTTATTATCTATTAATTCTATTAATATCATCACATGTTTTTTGTTTAGATCGTCACATATTTAAAACAACAATCCTATATTTTTATGATATAGGTCATCACATCCAGTGCTTCTATTGTCCTCATTTGCTTCATTGTCCAGAGGATGAGCCACATGATCCATCTGCTTCTCTGCAGCAAGCAGCCTCTGGATAACCTTCGGTGTCTGTCTCTTCCCTCTCTCTCCTTCTCTTTCTCTTATTTTTCCCATCTTGTCTCTGATCATATTCATTATTGATGGTAAGTAGTTCACTGGTGAACACATCTGTGGACTCTGGAATACCAGTATCTGCAGCACGAACCACAAAGTAGAAACAAAATCATTCAGGCACCAAAGAGCTGAAGAAAACAAAACAAAAGTATCTGCTCTTACCTTTCTTTTTCCTGTAAAACAGAAGATATGCAGTCTGGGACCTAATGGACAAATATGATATGTAATAAATATAACATTTGTTTTAATTGTTTGTTTATTTAACACTAATATTACTGTACTATATAATTATATGTGTCTCTGTGTGAATATATTTTTTCTAACAGTGTAAATATTTAAAGATACACCTATCTGTTTATATTTTTATCATTAATTTTATTATTGCTTTTGCACAGGAGAGTTTGGGGATACAGTTGAATAAAACGCAGAAACAATCTGCAGTTGTGATTATAGTGTGATATGACATTTTAACATGTAGCACAGCATATCTGTGAAAAGTGTATTAAAGGCATGTTTAATGAATACTCAAGTGAAAAATTAAGAAAATAATGGAAAATAATGTACAGTGGAGATAAGAAGCACAAACACTTACCTCTCAGTGTTATCCAGCTGGAATGGCTGATAATCAAGCTGATGATGTAAAAAAAATAATAAAGTATGACATGATGGATTTGTTTTGCCACTGTACATGTAGGTTTATAACACAGTGATTGTGTAACATGTTTCAGTATTAACAATAAATGATCACAAGTGATCAGTCTTACCTCTGTGACCCTGGTATCATCAAACTGATACCATCTGTCTCCATGTTCCTCCTGGATCTTGATTGTTGCACTGTAATGTCCTCCTCTCAGATCACCAAATTGATCCACAAATGCATACAGTTCATATGTCTGACTCTGATTACCAAAGGAAAAATGGCAAACATCAGAATGACTGAAGAAATGAAATAAATTCTGATTAAATATTAAAATATTCTGTACATTTACCTCTGGTATCTGCAGGGTGTAGGGAACCTCCACAGAACAGGTGATTTTGATGTATGACATGTAATTATAGTTGAACTCAAACCTCTTCAGCATCAGACACAAAACATCTGGATGATGCTTTATTACATCTGTCTGAATGAAAAACATTCAATTCAATTAAGTTCAGTTTTATTTATTTATCACAAAATCACAGCAACAGTTGCCTCAAGGTGCTTGTCTCTTCCCAAAATGTGTTAATAATGTTTCTAATTCTATTTAAAGAATCATAAACCTAAAAAAAATATTCTCACCATTGTGGAATCAACTTTGTCACCACACTGCTCACAGTACATCTGATTTTCTCCACAGAAATCTGAAGGTTTAAAAAACTCTTCAATGCCCTTCACCTGAAAAATACACTCGTGTTATTTAAAATCATCTCTGCCAAAGATGTGCTGACCAGCATAAAGGGTGTGATTGTGAAGTGCTGGCAAATGTTTTCTCAAGGAGGAAGGTTTTCAATACACTAACTTATTTAACGTAAAAATGTAAATGCATTATTAGCAGTTGTCATCAGATAGACTTACTCTAGACGTTTTTGAATACAGTCTCAAAACTCATGTTGTGTTGCTTCAATTTCAGTGCTTTGGGTCCTTCTGTTGTCATACGTGAAGCTTATGTGAAAACTTTAGCCACAATTTAAAGTTGTAGCCTCAGTTTTGTTCTCAGTAAGTTTTTTTTTTCATAATGAGCTTAAAACTTTAGACAGATTGGTCTCTCCCAGTACATCTCAGTTTATACATCTCTAAAATATATCATGTTAATGTTAAAATTACTTCCCTGTCCTGGTCTCTGACTGAAATGTGGACATCTTGTTTACAAGACACAGTTGTAGAAAAAAATCCAACTTTTACTCAAGATCTGAAGGTAAATATGGAGAAAAATTATCATGTATTGCACATCTCTATCTGACTTGTCAGATCCTTACCACACTGTAGTCACTGCAGGAATCAATCAGTGAAAGAGGAAGATGCCAAAATGGTGCATCTCCGTCAGTCTGTATATGACCTTTAGAGCAGGTGGTCTTGTTTACTAACTGACCGTGGAAGATCTGAAAAAAAGTACAAATACTTGTTGGCAATTTATATTTTCACCCAGCTTTCATATTGATAGGCTAACTTTTGCAACAAGTCAACCAAAAGGAGAACAGTCGCTACCTTTGATGCATCCGGACTGGTCATTCTTAAAACCCTCTCAAAATACTCTGCAGCATCACGCTGTTCATAAACTGGGTGAGGAAATCAATGTGGATGCTTTCAACAAAACGATTCATTTATTAAATAAAAATGTTTTTGTTTTAGAATTATCCAGTCAAACAATTTAAACAAGTTGAACTATTAAATTACATTAAAAAACTGCACAGGATGCAGATCACATCAGAAGATTTTACCTCAAAACTTCATGTAAATTAATTAACTTTCTCAATTAGACTCTTCAAACAATTCAAAGGTTGTGCTGTTTTGTGTGTTAACATACTGTACCATTGTCAATGCCCAGCTTTTGTGTTATTTTATATGTGTATGCTGTGTGTCTCTGTAAGTCATCAAATAAGACTTTAAGATGATGATCAAGAAACTCAGTGTGAGGATTTCCTCCAGAGTACCTACACAGAAGGAAAATATGAGTAATTAAAAATGCACAATAGACTTCATATTTGATAAATACAGGATCACACTTAAAGCTGGGCTGTAACAAACCTTGTCACAGCCTCTCTGAAGTCCTCGGTCAGGAACAGCACCTGCAGCACACTGTTCAAGCAATCTGTCGCTCCCTGGTTTATCAGTCCATGGTACCTGTTAGCTGCTGGGAGGAGACTGACTCGTGTAAATTTCAGAACTATGAGCAAATAATAAGTGTGGATCATAAACTAAAACAGACTAAAATAATCAAAAACCCTGTGCAGTGTTAAACTGCACTTTTGATTTTAAATAGATAAAAAGGTGACCTCTTTGCCAGTCTAATAAATTAATACATTAATAAAACAATAAGAATTTACAAAAATATTCAAACTGAACCATTAAGCTCAAGGTTGTCAGTAAAATTCTTATTTTGAATGGAAGAAGTCCAGAGACACCTTCTTCATTTTAGTGATGCTAGAAAACAGTGTGAAAAGCAGACACTAAACCTGGGGTCCGTTCTTCGTACCTCGCTAAGTAAGTTAGCTGGATTAGATTGTTGACGATTTCGCGTGATC